ACTGATAATAAAACTTCTAGGTTAATGGTGAAAAGATTCTCCACCGTGAGAGACAACCAGAGAGGTTCACAGAGTTACATGAAGAATAGGAGAGGGAGGAAGGAGATAGAGGTGAGCAGGAGGAGAACAAGGGGACTCAAGAGGAGAGAGACAGATCTACGCAGTTATCTGTTCCCAAAGTGTTTTCCGTAGCCCAGACACCCACAAAGATTCACAGAATTGGATTGGGAAGAGAAGGGTAAAGGAGGAAATAGAGGTGTTCTGAGGTACAAAACAGAGAGTCAAAAGTGGGAGAGAGTAATCAACACACTCCTGAGTAAAAATGGGTACTGAATATTGGATTCTTAAATGTCCAAAATTTATATCAAATGCTGAAAAACAAAGATTTAAAAAATCTAGAGTCAAGGTTAGACTCTTAAAAATACAATATTAAAAACAAAAACATAAAAAATTTAAGAATTATATATGAAGTTCACTTTAAAAATAGGGTCTTCTTTTTTTTTTGCGAGGCTATAGTGAAATGAAAATGAAAATCAAGGAGTAATAGAGGAGTAATAGAGGACTTTAAAAGAAAATAAAAGAAAATGAAAATTAAGGCGTAATAGAGGAGTAGTAGGTAATTTTAAAAGAAAGGAGAAAAAAATTTAAAAAAAACGAAATAAAAAGAAGAAAAAAATTGTTTCTTTTAAATTAAAAAAAAAAGTAGTAAAAAATATATCTAGGAATTTCTCTGGAGCTGTTGTGGGCAGTGTGGGTTCAGTTCAGTTTCAGATAGCTCCTTGTTCCAGCTTACACTTCTCGATATCTATAGGCCCCTTCCGGTGTAGTCAGTGTTATCTACAGGGATTTTAATCTGTTGCACCTGTCACTTCTGAAGCAGTTCCCTTTGTTTATTTGGCTTCTGTTTGCCGGTCTCTTCTCTATTTTCCACCCTGACACAAGCAGGTGGAGGTGGTCTCTTGTTTAGGTTCGCTTGTTCAGTCATGCTCCTTTCGAAGACAATGGGCTGCTTTTCTGGGCGCCTGATGTCCTCTGCTAGCGCTCAGAAGTTGTTTTGTGTAATTAGCTCAGCGTTCAAATGTTCTTTTGATGAATTTGTAGGGGAGAAAGTGGTCTCCCCTTCCTATTCCTCCGCCATCTTAGCTCCTCCCCTGGATTTGGAACTTTAAAAGCTTGGGCCTAAATCTTGACTTCAAAATGTAGCAGCTAAACACCTTTGGACAAATTTATCTTTTCAATGCCAAAGTTCTAATCTATAACAGATATAATAGTACGAGAGTACCATTGTATTATTGAACATTATAATGTGTAATAAACTATATTATATAGTTTAATAAACTATAAATAAAGTACACAAATATTGCTACTTTTTCTTGTACACCACTGGCTTCCTTTGCCATTCATCCTAGTATTTTTCTAACTTCTTCCTTATCCATGTGGTACTTTACTTTTACTCTACTTACCTCTGAAAGAGGTAACTTTTTATTTACAAAAAGAGACTAAAAATAGTAATGCTTAAGGAAGATAGATTATTTAACAATAGCTTGCATGCATTCTTAAGAATTTAGGAAAGTCTCTTTTTCTACCAACATTATTAAAGTGCAATGAAGAAAAATAAGATGCAACAGCATAATAAAAAATGAAGGTCTGTAATGGTTAACATAAAAGACACAGATAATACAGTGGATTAAGTAATTAACCACATTTTGGGGAGTTGTAAGAGAAGGAAATTGTGCAAATCAGGAATGAGATGGTTACAAAAAGAGGAAATATGTTCTAAGATGAAGCGTGAAATTTTACATTAAAAGAAAAAAATAGAATCTTTAATTTCAAGTACACAAAGTGAGATTAAAGTTTAAGCAAAAATGGAGGGACCAGTAGTCTCTAACTAGTAATTGATATCAACAACACTTGAGACATTTTATATTTATCAGCACAGAAATTTGTCCAAAATAGTGAACGGTTGTTGTTAAACCATGAAAGACGCTGGGATTCTTGGCCTCCAGAGGAGAAGGATTCAATCTGGGGCCAGAGATGAGGCTTGATTGCTCAGAGTTTTTGTGTAATAAAGTTTTATTAAAATATAAAGGAGATAGAGAAAGCTTCTGATATAGACATCAGAAGGGGTGGAAAGAGTGCCCCCTCACTAGTATTAGCAATGGAGTTATAGACTTTTAGTTAGTTATTACAATGAGTCAAAAGACTGTCTGGAGGTTGTAAAGACCTTACTAGACCCACTCCCATAATTTACATTTTAAGATAGCAGGATTAGCCAGGAAGTTTTTTTGCAGAAACTGTCTTCAAGCAGGAGACATTATTATTATATAATCCTAAGGAATGTAGAGGGAAAAAAAGAAAAAAAGTCTGTCCTTTCCTCCTCCTTGAGAATTCCAGACCAGAATTCCCTCTCTCTTTGGAGATCCCCAAACTTATCAACCTGCCTAGGAATTGACTCTCTCAATAGAATCAAGAGATTTTTGTCAACAAAGACAACATATATGTTGTCAGAGAAATGAAAATTTTCAGTAATTTGTCTGAATAGGTTTTTATACTTGTGAACTTAAAATATAGTTTAAAAGTTTAGATTGGTTATCACAATTCCAGTTTAGATTGGTTCTCACAGTTTTTGTGGCACTTTCTGTCAGATGGCATGTTGTTAAAATATAGAGTATCATTCAAAGTTATGTTCCTGTGCCTGTCTGGATTTATTTATATGTTGTGAGGTATACATCAAAAGAGAGAGAGATCTCCAAATATTTTCTGTTCAGGGAAACATTGGGTGTATTTCCACTAGTAGATCAATTTTCATGAAATATATATATAAAGCTTATAATATTTACATAAACTTCTTACAAATTTAATATAAAGATAGTCACATTAAGACACTAAACTCAATTTGCATTAAATCTGTAAATATATACTGGAGATTACATTAGCTAAAAATTAACATTTACTAAGATCATCATGTGTTTCAGATACTAGCTCGTTTAAACCTCACATATTACAACAAATAGAAAAGCTAGGTGACTTATTATCCCTATTTATTGATGAGGAATCAAAGTAACTTACCTAAAATCACATAGAAGTATAGGAGCTGAGCAGAAATCTGAAAGATTATTTGACATTAACACATATAAACTCACTGGCTAAACTCAATGGCTTCCCTTGGAACAAGAATCTGAGATTCAAAAGAGTATCCTTTCCCCAGGGAGCTGAGTTTTTAGTGAAACAAACCATTTACTAACATTTAACATATGAATCAAAAAAATTATCCAGCAGAGCAAGCAAGAGGTTCTCCTGTAGCCTAGAAGTTC